TTTAGAAACAAATCATGATCTTGTATTTGGAGACTTTATTGGAGATTAATGATATTAGAGAAATTTTAAAGATTTGATCTTCAGATTTTGATGGTATCAGAGTGTAAATTTGATAAGTTTCGAGCCTTGTGCATTTGTAGGACCCGTCTCACGAGTGCACGGCGTCTGCCACGTCCCCGGATTTGGGTTCTGGGACGTGACATTAAAGGTACTCATGCTCTTTAAGAATGTTTGTGAAGTAGATTTTAGAACCAACAAGTACAATACAACATTCTTCTACTAATTGCCGTCTTTAAAACATTTTTTGATATGATTTAATCTATAATTCAATGTACGAATATCATAAAAAAATTGTAGGCATTGATAAAGGAGAGTTCGACCAACTTCTTTTCATTTACATGAAGAATGCATAAATTGTAAGTGGCATACTGTGGATGAAAGAACGGGTTCATAAAACAAATCCAACTAGAAATCTTTTGTTTTCACTTTGTTGCCAAGAAGTTAAGATCAAGTTGATATTGTCTAAACAAAAACTGACTATACCAAGAAGATTGTTTAACCCTCAACCTCAAATTAAAATGAAAATCAATAAATTCTAAAAATTAAATGTAATCAATTCATATATGCAACATACAAATAATTAAAAAGTAATTATACATATATGTAACATACACTTCTTCTTTAAAACTACTTATTTTGACTTTTCTTATTTATTCAAAACATCAATTCTTCTTAATTCTCTATTTAATTATTTACGCATTACATTTTGGTTAAGTAGTTATAAATCATTGTATTATTTTAACACTAATTGATATCTCTATATCTCTATATTTATCAATAATAAAATCCATTAATTGCATTAAATAGGTTCTAAAAATTGACAAGATAATGGAAGGGAATGGTATGAATTATAATTAGAGTTTATTAGTATTTTTTAAAAATAGATCTCAATTAATTCATATTGTATATTACATTACGCGATAATTTAAACTTTAATAATCTAGAAATTTGAGATAAAAAGCTAAAAGGTAGAAAAGGTGAGAATCTAATCATTATCATGAAAATGCAATAAAATACTGAAACACAAAAGTTATAAAGTGTTTAGAGCTTTAATTGGGATTTTTTTTGAAAAATCAATAAAAAAGCAAAGCCATAATTAAAATTTCTATTAATTTCAATTAAAAGGAAAAGTTGTACTTCATTTTAAATGAAAAAAATGAAATGCAAACCGTTACTTAACTAATGAATGGAATTTAATTTGATGGTAGAAAAACGACGGATAGTACGTGGCAAGGAATGTGATGAGTTATATTAGTATTTTAAAAATAAATCTCAATTAATTTTTATTATATGTTTTATTACAATATATTTTACACTTTAATAACTTCTTTTTTTTTTATATGAATAGGCGCCTGTTTTATTGAAAAATATAATTCCAGGGAGTATTACAGAAAATCACATTGACAGCTTATCCCTAAATACAAAAGGCGCAAGGTAATCTAGTATCTCATTTCTGAAAAACTCATCTCCCTCAGCCTGTAGTGCTCTCTTAGCTAACTCATGAGCCACAGCATTATCAGTTCGACGCACGTGTTTGACTCGGCAGTGCAGGAAAGAGGACATCAACAGCTTACAATCTGATAAGACATTTCCCAGGTCTGAATTTAAGGCAACATTGTTCGACAGTGCACTTACAATACTGGCACAATTCGTCTCAATAATGATTCTCCCAAGATTTAACTCTTGAGCCCACTGCATTGCACGCCGGATACTACATGCTTCTACGATTTCTGCAGCTGCAACGTCCCTCCCCTGACAGAAATCTAACCATTATTATGAAAATATAATAAAGTACAAAAATACAAAAAGGTATATAATGTTTACAAAATTTTAATTAGGATTTATTGAGAAATTAATAAAAATATATAAACAAAATTACAATTATAATACCATAATTGAAAATGGAACATTGATATGGATGCACTTTGATTCAATACACTTATTAAAAAATATTATTTTTAAATTTACATTAAAAATGTGAAAACTTAAAATGGTAGATTTTAATGACAAAACCAGTGAGTATTTGTAAATATGTTCAATCAAAGAATACATCAATCATTTTTCTTGAAAACAAAAAACCACCATAATACTAATAAAAACCATAATTTATACAAATAATAATCATAGTATTCTTTCAATGATAATGATAAATGAAATAACTTATAATAAATGATTTACTAAGAAACTACTCACCGATTTGATGAATGAATTCATTGATTTTGAGAAATCACCTGAGAACAAAAAAATCTCTCCATGGTGTATGTTCTTTTTATCAGCTAATGTATCTCCTTTTTTTTTTTTAGTACCTGAATATGATTTTATTGAAATAAACATAGGACTCATATTTATCGGAAATACTTTTTTTTTTTTTTTGAAATCTAGATAATGTTAATGGAGTTTTGGTTGGCGTTAGGACTCCACAAGAAAGAGGCAAGCAAATACTAATAATATTGCTTACATGAAATTACATATTGAAGATAAAGATAATTCACTTTTTGAAAATTTTTGTTTCAAGTACCTATTTGAATTTCATTTCTTTTTAATAAAAATATGATACCCAAGACATTTTTCTTTAGTCAGTTTACAATATCTAAGATATTAGTTTTGAATAATTTTAAAGATGTCTAAACATATATATTTTTGGTTTGTCCATAAAATTTTTAGTTAGTTTTCTAATTTTAATAGGATAAATTTATACTATAAAATTTTTAACATATTAAATTTATTTATAGCAGTAAAAATAGTCACACAAGGCAAATAAAAAAATCTTGTGCAACGCACAAGCTAAAAAGATTAGTATTTTAATAAAATATGATTGATTGAAAACCCTATTAAATTTGGGCAAAAGCCAACATTTAGCCCATCACCTTACAAAATTGGTAGGTTTTAACTCATCACCTTATAACATGACAGTTTTAGCCTTTTATCTTACAAAATTGGTAAGTTTTACCCCCTCACCTTATAAAGTTGGTAGGTTTTAACCCTTTACCTTATATTATGATATTTTTAGCCCATCACAGATACAAATTAGAATTAAAGAAAATAACCCTCATCTAATATTCGATTATAACGAACTGTTAATTCTGTTAGTTGACTGTTAACATTTGTTAGTTGACTGTTAACATTTGTTAGCATTCCGTTATAAAAAATATGAAATTTAAATTCAATTTTATTTGTTAGTTTCACTAACAAAATACTAACAGATACTAACAGTCAACTAATAAAACTAACAGTCAGCTAATAAAATTGATAGTCAGCTAACAGAACTAATAGAACATTAAAACCTGATATTAAATAAAAGTTATTTTCTTCAGTTCATACAAATAAGGGGTTAAAAGTATCATAATATAAAATAAGGGGTTAAAACCTACCAACTTTGTAAGGTGAGAAGTTAAAACCTACCAATTTTGCAAGGTAAATATCTAAAAGTTTCATATTATAAGGTTAGGGGCTAAAGGCTACCAATTTTGTAAGGTGAGGGGCTAAATGTTGGTTTTAACCTTAAATTTGAACTAAAATATTTTATTTCATTTAATTGTTTCCAATCTAAAGGAGTTTGATTAATTAGTAAATAACTATAGTATTATATGTTAAGTATATGATTTAAGTTTTAGAATCAATGTTTAAAAAATTTAAACTAATATAGTAGTGTTTTCTTAAAATTAATTGATAAAAAAATTAATCTTGATATGATACAGAAAACTAGTGCAAAATCACCCTGATGTAAATAAAAATAATAATAAAAACAATTTTCATTTCCGATTTATTTAATACATAAAGGCACAAGGAGCATAACACTTTTTTTTTCTTTTGATAAACAATTTTCATTTGCAATTTTCAGCGCATAACTCTAGTTATGTATAGAAGCTCAAAACAAGATGAATGAACTAGTCTGAATTTGCATTCGTGTCAGTTTCGCCCCCTCACCGCATCAGTCAACTATTTTTTGTACACTTTATTAGGGGTGAGTACGGCTCTGTTTTTAGTGGCAACCGAAACCAAATCACTAATTAATCAAAATTTGGGTTATTAGTTTTTAGTTCACTAATTCAAAATTGCTGGGTTTTTCGGGTTTTGATTAATTTTTTAAAATAATCATTTGGTTTAGTTTAAGTCAAAAAATAAACGAAAAAGATTTAGCCAATATTTAGAGCTGGAATGGGTGAGAACAGAAAAGGACCTAAAAAAGTTTCATAAAGCCACATTAAATTTAAAAAATTGTATTAAAAAAGCTCAAAAATTTTGAAAATGGGTGTTTAAGAATTTTCAAAATAGGTTCAGGATTTAAATTCGAATTACAAAAAGTTGGTTCGAAGTAATTGCACATAATACATCGGAGAAAGTATGATTTTGGTTTGAATTATATAAGTATAATTTGAACTATTTACTTAAAATCAAAATTCAAAAAATACGATTTTAGTTTGAGCCACATTTATATGGTTCGCACCATTTATGTGAGAAATAAAATAGAAAAATTTTGATAAATTTCTCAAAGAAGAGTAGATAACTTTAGAAGGCAATGAAACACGTGAGTTAAAATTCAAATCAAACCAAATGATTTTCAGAGAGTTTCCAATAAATAAACTTAATGAAAATTCATATATTTTTAGTTAATAAAATGAAAATGAACGTTTGTTCCAACAGAAATCTTCTCCTTATAAATATGAAGTTATCTCTTCTTCTTCTTGATATTTTGAACACAAGAACAAATTCCTACTATTATCTAAATAAAACAGTCTCCTTTTGTACTACAATTACTGCGAAAATCCCTATACAAAAACTATTATTTTCTCACTTTCAAAAAAACTGTTCAGTGATTGATCTTGCTAGTG